AGGATGCCTTCCATCCCACGAGTTTTTAACATCATTCCAGGGCTGAAGGGAGCCTTATAAACAATCTATTCCAGAATTTCCCAAATTGTTTCACAGAATACCACTCACTCGGAGCCTTTGTCTAAACTGCTGATAAAAATGAGACCTACTTAATCTGCCTAAATTATTGCTTACAGTATATTGTCAATCTTGAAGTGCCACTATTCACCAAGCTTACTTGGCCACTAAATATGTTTTGAAAACTCTTATTTGGCCTAATCAATTTATATGACTTACAGTGAAATCAAAGGCAGGGAAGGCAAGGGCACAAAGCCAATTAGCATCCCAACCAGGTCTACGGTTTGTGTGTCCTTACTTATCTGTTCAATCACTGCTTCTCCCGAGATCTAAAAATACCTCTGACTTTTTTTTTAAGGTCAACTTTCAAAAGATCATTAAAGGTAACTGTCATATATCTTTTGCTCGATACCTTTCATTTTACTAAATATCAGTCTGGCAACATCTTCTGGGTTAACAAATTTTGTTTCTTCTCCAGTATAGATTTCATATCGTAATTTCCCATTTTTTTCAACGACCTATAAAATAAATTATAATTATGCTAAATAATTTTTAGTAACAGTGCAAAATTTTCAATCAACATTATATGTTATGACCTTGGTAATTACTCTGTATAACAGCGAAGCAATAATAGAACCATACTCACTAAACATTTACTTTCCGTGATATATTTCTGAGCTTGTGGATCATTGGAGCTGTCCATAAAGAAAGATAAAGATAGCTAAGTATTAAAATCAGTATTGGAGATATATAAAGTTTAAAGTACACTGTATTTCTCAATTATCATTGAACAAATATTAAAATATTAACAAAATTATTAAGCTGCTTATACTAAAAGTCTTCAAATGTTACAGAAGATAGAAATGGACTATTTATAAGGGTTACAGTAATTCTACTAAAGTGCTAATCTTTGCATTTAAAAGTAGCTTTCTTGTTCTGGCCTTGCTATTAATAGATGCTATAAATTTTGAAGTATTGTTTGTAATAGCCACAATTTTATACCATACTTTCACACCTATGATTCTGAAGACCCAACCACTGAGATGAAAGGTTGCGAACTAAGGGCAAACCACAGTAGCTAAGACCATCTTTGTTGCTTGGTTTCTGAACACACACCAACTCCAGAAACCAAAAGGATGAGCAAAACTAGGAATGTTGTTTATAGAAAGGTGTGGGGTACCGCAGATATGCATATGTAAACAGATTTAAGCAACTTATGCAGTCTACAAAATGTTTTCATGTACATTATTTCACCTTAGCCTCACAACACCTAAGTAGGGTGTGTCTAGCAGGTATTATTTCAGAGATAAAGTGCTTCAGAGTGGGGCAATGACTTAGAAGCTAACAAGGAGCAGAGCCAGTAGGTTAGAACAGTTATTCTCTATCAGGCTGCTACTGTTCATACTTTACCAGGTTGCCTCCTACTAATCTTGTATATGATCATAGTACTTCTGTTCCTTGAGCAGATACAGAAATCTCTGATTCTTGGCTTAATGTCATCTAGAAATTAAGATAAAATAGACTCGTACCCTTCCATTAAACCCTTCTTCCAAGGACCTGTGACTACTCTCTTTGGAGGCCAGCCTTAAATGTTTAATAAGAGAAGTTGAAAATTAATAGTGGCTAGTTGCTGAAGGGTTAACAGAGCATCTAGGGACATTAATTTGTTAAGAGGCAGGGAAGGCCTGGTGTGGTGGCTTACACCTGTAATCTCAGTACTTTGGGAGGCTGAGGCAGGTCGACTACCAGGTTAGGACTTCAAGACCAGCCTGACCAAAATGGTGAAACCCTATCTCTACTAAAAATACAAAAATTAGCTGGGCATGGTGGCACACCTGTAATCCCAGCTACTTGGGAGGCTGAGGCAGGTGAATTGCTTGAATCCGTGAGGTGAGGTTGCAGTAAGCTGAGATCACACCACTGTACTGCAGCCTGGGTAAGAGAGGGAGACTCTGTCTCAAATTAAAAAAAAAAAAGAAAAAAGAAAAAAGAAAAAAAAATGGCAGGCAAAAGGGGTTTAAAATGGACTAATTTTGCCTAGAATTCTGAAATACATGCAGGTTCCTCATACTTCCTTCTCTATCACCCAAGGTATCAACAGGACAGGAGATAACTAAGTAGCTTGCCCAAAGTCACACAGCTAACTAATGGCATGATTGGCTGCCATCCAGACCTTCAATACAAAGTTCAGTATTCTTTCCGTTAAACTCTTTGCTTCTTTCTCTTCCTAAGCTCAGTATTTAATATTAACTATATCCCAAACACTTTACGAGTAGGAAAAAAAAGATAAAGTTTGTTTTAAAGGAGTATATATTTAAGACATTATGGGTTTTGCACCAATATTAGAATTTCTAGTTCTATTTCCTTTAAATTTAAGTCAACCAGGACAATTTACACTATTATGTAAATTGTGGCTCATAGTGGGTTTTGCACCAATATTAGAATTTCAGCATGACACTAGTTCTATTTCCTTTAGAATTTAAGTCAACAAGGACAATTTACACTATTATGTGTAGGCTGTCTACCACTTAGACAACAGAATGTACCAGCAAGGATATTTTACGGAATTTACAGAACTCTTAGAAATTGAAAATTATTTCTCAATTGCCGTATGAAAAGGGCTGCCGTCATCTGAAGACAGAAAGCACATGTAGCTCCAAAGGCCACAGACAGGCAAGACACTTAGCAGAAAAGAAAAAAGCAATGCAGAGAATGGAGGCAACAAAGGATCAAAGACATCATAATAAAGTAGTGGACTGACCCATAACCACATACAAGTGAAAACTTTATTTGCTCATACCAGGATTACTGAACAGAAAAACAAAGGTGGTGGGAAGTTGTTATACATAGCACCTTATTTACATGATGGCCTTCAGGAGGCACAGTTAATCCTATGGTTGTGTATCACTCGTGCTCCAGGGTCTTTCCCCTACTCATTACATGACAGTGCCTGACACATCTGAAAGTGCTCATATATTCATCTGTTCCTTTGATCCTCACAACACCCCTGTGAGGTAGGTAGGACAATTATGAGTTTCCTACTTTATAAATGAGGAACCTGAGTTACGGAATGCTGGAAAGGGGGGTTCAGGTAGTAACGGTTCGGTCCACCACACAGGCAGATTCCTGGTTGTTTGCTTTCTTGCCCACTCTCTCCCTGTATTGCAATTTCCCTCCCCCTAATATTTTCAGCCCATTTTTCTGTTTACTTATTCAAGACCTTTCCATTGACTTTTATTCCCACATTAAGGTTACTTTACCCATTGAATTTTACAATACTATGTCCAAACTTTAATTCCATTTCTCTTCTTCAGCACCCCTTTCATCTCAAAGAAATTCCTGTCTATGTACTTTGCTACCATTAATAGATTTACAGAATACAGGTCTAACTCTCTTTCAAGTACTTCAGTATTTCCAGAAAATCTACCTAACTACCTATAATTGACACATATCTTTCCATATAGTCGCCTAAGACAATTGAGAAAAGGAATATAGCTGTAGCTATTTTAATGTCTTAAATATATGCTCCTTTAAAGCAAAGAGTCTGTATGTCTGGTGTGGTGCTTACAAGTTTATGAGCACATTAATGAATATTAATACCACAAAATGCTAGAATTGTTACCAGTATTTGAAATATACATATGCTCCTGTGACAGAAAATATTACAATTTAAATTTCACTTTCATGTTGTCTTTTATCATGCTATTTCAAACTTTCAGAGCTGGAAGGTACTAGTACAAAAAAAAATCATCTACTACAAATCCCTCAATCTGGAGATGAAGAAATTGAGGCATGAATTGGCCAGGCACAGTGGCTCACACCTGTAATCTCAGTACTCTGGGAGGCCAAGGTGGGCAGATCACCTGAGGTCAGGAATTTGAGACTAGCCTGGCCAACATGGTGAAACCTTGTGCCTACTAAAAATACAAAAATTAGCACATATTTGTAATCCCAGCTACTTGGAAGGCTGAGGCAGGAGAATCAGTTGAACCTGGGAAACAGATGCTGCAGTGAGCCGAGACTACACCACTGCACTCTAGCCTGGACAACATAGTGAGAGTCTGTCTCAAAAAAATAAAAAAAATAAAAAATAAAAATAGAAAAGGGCAAGTGATTTGCCTGATGAAACAAACTGTGACAGGATTCGCGAAAGTCCAGGAATTCTAACTAGATTCCAGCACATTCTACCACGCCAGCTGCCTCACACCTCCACCCCTGCGTTGGCATAGCAGCCCGCTTGCCGTCTACTCATGGTTCTGGGTATGTTTCTACTGCTGCTCCGACCATTTCTCCACCCAAGTGCATTTCCAACATTTAGCTAAGCACTCGAGCTTACAAAAATAGAAAATAAACCCTCTCTCAACGTGCCCACTCTTTTTTCATTTTTCCAGCTTCTAGACTATGGGAAAACTTTTAAATCCCAAAGATTCCTATCTGTATTCCAAAAAGTACTGAGTAAACCACTGAAAGCTTTAAGTTAGTTTAATAACAGACAATAATGGCTGCCCTTCTAGAGTAAATCGAAAGTGTCACTTACCACCTTCATCTCTTCCGAAGTGTGTCTAGGGGAGGGGAGGGGACTCGTTCTGTTCAGGGCTAGTGCTTAAAAGAAGTCATCTATTGCAGACAATCTTTATCCACACCATCCCCTACCCTTCCCAAAGTCAAAGGCGGAAACAAAGCTTTTCTCTTCTACCAGATGCCAACAACTACACAAACTTCTGTCTACAACATCTGAGGAAAAGTAACCTTGGAAAGCTCCGTAAAAGCAAAGTTTTCTAGGGCTTGCCCTGTATAACCTGCTAGACAAAAAAATAACAGAAAAGAATGAAATCAGCTAAAAGCAGATTGGAAACTGATATAATCTGAATTGTTTCTACAATGTTCAAAAGGCAACTGAAATTTAAAAGATGTAACTTAGGCATCTAAAGGGACCCAAATAGTATGAAATGCAAAGAATTTTCTTACATTTAATATTGTGTAAAACGGCCAATGTTTTATATTGAAGATTATCGCTATAAACCATAACACACTATAGTGGGTCCCTGTCACTTCTTATTTCCTTATATTGCTAGAAGACTAAGAACCAGTAAAACGAAGGAGAGAAAGTGGTTTGACTATTAAAAGAGTGCTTGCTAGTAGATATGTCAGAGAGACAGCAGTGGAAACGTACGAGATTAAGGTGCAAATACGGGTTGTGCCTATACAAGTCTAATGAGCCACACAGGGATTTTAAAAATTAAGATTTCAAACTCCATGAAGCAATCAAGTTAAACCAGGAAAGATTCAAGCAATGAAGTCACAGTATACATCCACACTCCCGTATCTTGTAAACTAATGTGCCTTACCTCAGCCAAGGCCATATGCATCAATAACTTGAATGTGTATAGTGCTTTTAAACTTTTAAACTTTCACATCTGTGAGTCATGTGATCCTCACAACAACCCTGTGAGGTAGGCAGGGCAGGAGTTATTATTGATTCCCATTTTACAGACGAAGAAACCGCTGGAGAGAGGTAAACTAAACTGCTTCACATCTGTGACAAAGCTAGGACAAACCAGCTCTCTAGAACTTGGCCACCCCTTGCGTTTCTGAAAGGTCTTCCATTTGGTGGAGAATCTTGGGAAAACGAACTAGTAAGTATAGTCATACTATGTGGATAATAATGGTTCATCCATGTTTCTTTTCTGAGGATACAGAAAAGGAGCCAGGGATTCAGAAGGCAGGTTTTGGAACTAGACTTCTACGATTTTAGGAAACAGAGCCTTTTGTAATCAGTTCCTAAGTTTTGGTATTTGAAATCAACCTCTGAAGCAATTTTTCAAGGCCTAGCTGAAAAGCACCAGTTGCCTCTTCCACTGCTGTCGCCAAACGTCTGACTGCGAGGACAGCATCCCTGCGGAGCTCATTGGCAGTGTCTTGCTGAGCACTGGCCTCCTCACCAATAGCAATCAGCCTGTCCAGTTTTTCTTCCTCCCGCTTTGAGAGTTCTCGTGCCAATCGCCTGTTTTCTGCCAACTCAGCTGCGATAGTTCTGGCCACTGACCGCCTTCTTCGCCTTGCCCACCTTGGAGGGGGCTCACTGGTCAAGGGCCTATCCCCACCAGAAACAAAACCGGCTCTGGAAGAGAAGACTGGAGTCTGCGGAGTGGAGGCTACCCCAGGAGTGCTGTGGCTGGTGCTGGTGCAGGGACTGGGCTCCCCGGACACACCCAGTCTGGCCATGGGGCTGCTCTGACAGGGAGCAACTGTACCTCTGAAAAGGTTGTGGGAGCTGCTGTAGCTGGGGGTCCCTTGAGAGCACCCTGAAAAACAAAGCAACAATGTTGCAAAGAGGACATTCCTGCTAAGGGAATGTTTGAAGCCAGCAGCAGAGCTGAGAGACAATTATAAAACTATGGTTGTTCCTGGAAAGGCCTCTTTCCACCAGGGACTGGGGAATCCATTTCCTTAATCTGAACATTTTGGTCTGTTTAATTTCACCTCTAAAACTTCTCCCTTGCCTTCCTGAACCCCTTTGTACATAGCTAGCTATCCAGCCCACTCTAGACCTCCAAGTTCCTAACTACCCATTACAAACAATGCCAGAACTAGTTTGGGTCTAAAGAGCATTTCTAGGTTTAAAGAGGTCTAATATCTTATGTAGCTAGGGGCATAGGTTTCGAAAACCTGGAGCCCTTGAGTTCAGTATTAGGTTTTCAAAAAGGTGGTGGGACAGAATGAGGCAGAAACAGGAACTATGCTGAAGAGGACAATATCCAGACACAGCTTTTTAGAGCCACGTGACTCTAGGACCCAAATCCTTCACATGCTTGGGAGTTACCTGCACCCGAGGATTCATCCCAGGAGTCCTCAAGGTCACTGGTTTCTCGTATCCGGTCACTGATTCTTAGCTGACAATCCTCATCTGATTCCTTAACTGTTTTCAAGATAGGCTGATGATCAGCTGCCTGAGTCCTTTTAGATTTTAGAATGCTGGTTCCCTCTTCCCCTGGGGCATCAGAGGCCACAAAGTTCTGATCACAGTGCTTGGCCCAAGCAGCATCCTCCATTAAGTTGTCTGGGTCAGTCACTATCTGATTTCGGAGAAGCTGATCCAATGTATCATAAAATGGACAGTGTGGTGGCTCACCCATACTTGTCGCATGGGCAACATAGGCCTTTAAATATAATGCCTTCAGCACTTTAAACTTGGAGCGGCACTGACGTTCGGTGCGGCGGAAGCCCTCCTGCTGCATTCGTTTAGACACAGCCTGATAGACATCTGCATTGTGATGCACAGTCTGGAGGCGCTGAATATACTCTGCCTCGCCTAGTATGGAGAGAAGAGTTCGTGTCTCCTGTCTGGACCACCGGATGCCCGCGCTGCTATTGGCACTGGCCATTGTGGGTTGGGAAGGAGGGCTGGGCAGCTTCTGGACAGCAAGGTGCAAGTCTGAAGGTGTGGGGAAGCTCTGTGTGCTCTCAGGATATCTCCAGGAGCCAGCTGGTTCTTCCCCGTCAGGGATAATTGCTGAGAAGCCAGGTCCAAGGACCGAATTTCTGGCTGGAAGGCCACAGGGGAATCAGAGTTACAGGAAGGGTGTAAGGATAATTTTGGCAGCAAGTTAAGTGGTGCTACCTGTGTGTAGGTCATAAATAGGCACGAGGCAAAGACTGAAAAAGCCCAACTTTGGGAGTTCACCAAAGGTAGACACCACACCAAGGACTTAATGACTTGGTAACAAAAGGGCCAAATGCTTCCATGGCTGAGAGTTGGCACAACAATGGATCTGTAAAAATCACCCTTGTCTGGTGAGTAAATAGGCTGAGAGGGAAAAAAATCACCTGGACCACAGGCAGCTAAGTACAGGAGTCCAAGCATGACCACACCATAGCAATCTGAAAAATGCTCAGCCTTCACTAATCACAGCACACCGCAGCTCTGTGTTACCCATCTGACTGTCACAATGGGCCAGAAAAGTGAGTTTAAGCTGCTCTGCTAATACAAAGCTTTCTTGAACAATATGGCAGAAGACAGCCACGTCATTACTCTAACCATCAGCCCCCACCCACCACAAAGCAGCACAAAAGAAACAGGAACATATTGTTGGCTACCAGCGGAGCGATCTAAGGAAATGTTCTGGATCTGGACTATATCAATGTGAGCATCTTGGTTGTGATATTGCACTATAGTTTTGCAAGACGTAACCACGGGGAGAAGTGGTGAATCCAGTACTGTAATGAGTTTAATGTCTCTGCATTATTTCTTACACAGCAGCATGGGAAACCACAATTCATTCAAAAAGTTTAATTAAAAAACAAACATATTGTTGGCTGCTCGGTGATTCCGGCTTTAAGACCCATTTACAACTCTTTTTTTAGGCTTTATGATATGAAAATACTTGACATCAACTTATATTTAATATTCAGTACTAAGTTCTGTCAATAGGTAAAAGGATATGGGGATATATTTATTGTCAGGAAATACTGAATTATCTCTAAACAACTATAGTTTTTGGCTTAGTACACAAATATCCTAAGGAAAAAGATTAATATCAAGTTCAATTTAATTGAACACAGGTAAGAGATAAAAAATATTATAAAAGAAATAAATTTTAAATTTAATCTCCAATATCCAAATTCTAAATCAATACCAGGACATTTTTACTTAAATTCTCACTACAAAAAAATTGAAAGAAAGAATCTGGGGCAGAGGGTGAGGAAATATGACCTGCAGTCTTATCCAGTTTACCCTGAAAATAATGCAACAATTTCTTTGTACCTTGGTTTTCTCATCTATAAATGGACAACGATAGTATTTGCCCTGCCAATTTTATAAGGATGCTGAGAGGATTAAATAGATGTGAAAGCACTTTGAAAATTTAAAAACACTCTATCAAGCATTACTACAGTAGTGAAAAGGAAAACCCCTAATTATTATAGCAATCTATAATTTGAGGAGACAGAAGTCTGGGGAAGCAAGCCTCTTCTAATCTTAAAAAAAACTTAATTAAAGTTACAACAGATGATTAATCTGATTCTTACATAAGACATTAATTTAGCTGTTACTCTAATGATTAAATTTGTAAGTCATTGGGAAAAGTCGATTCCCAGAAAGTGTCACAAGAGATCCTGAGGAAGAAAATCAATAGTGTCTACAGAAATTATAAACAATTGTAATATATTCCGCAAAATTCAACCACATTGCCAAAAAGTCTTCAAATTCTCTGAAATCCTCTTAGTTAAAAAAATCTAAAAACATGAAAAATCCAAATTACTACCTCTGAATAACACAAATTACCAAAATTAAATGAACGTTGGCATTTATCAATACTAACAGACTTGTCAGCAAGAAACTAACGTCTGAGTGACTCCCACACTGGAGAAGATCCAACACTAATAATCAAAAGAAACAGCCTACTGGGGGTACTCTCTGTAATGACTCAGTCATAAAAAGCAATGAGAAAACAAACTATGCTGTTTCTAGTTTCATTTCACATTAAGCTGAGAATTTATAAACACATATCTATTACCATATTTGAAAGTATCATTTGATTCCATACCTTCTGCCCAGGATCTGCTTTACTTTCATTACAGTATTTGAAATATTTCTTATTCTATTTTGTTTTGCTGCCAATCCAACAATCTGAAAAAAAAAAAAAAAAAAAACATATATATATATAAAACAATGCATGTAATTTTAAATTATTTTGAAAGTACAAAAATGAGGGGACTAGTACCTCTTCATTTGCTGAGTAAGCAACAACAGCTGGAGTAACTCGGTCACCGGCATCATTTGCAACCACACCAGCCCGGCCATCCTAGAGAAGAAAACACAACTATATTAGTTCTGTTGAAATGAAATACAGTCTCATTAGATGTATTCAGACATGTGTGCACCAGTGTTACTTTGCCATCTGTGTGGAAAGAAATACTGCTCTATTAATATTTTTAATTTGCAGATTTAATTACCATTTAATTTCCTAGTTTTTAGAGAAGGCCTATAATTCCATGAAGAACTGCTTCATGGTTTCATTCTGCTAAGTCAACAATTGAATCAAAAGTAATAATAACCTTTCTGTACACAAGACGAAGCCTGTTATTAGGTTACCTTTCCTACTTCTCTACTTACCATTTCTTTTTTCTTTTTTCTTTTTTTTTTTTTTTTGTGACAGAGTCTTGCTCTGTGTCCCAGGCTGGAGTGCGGATTGCAGTGGCGGATCTCGGCTCACTGCAACCTCCGTCTCCCGGGTTCAACTGATTCTCATCCCTGAGCCTCCTGAGCAGTTGGGATTACACGCCTGGCTAATTTTTTTGTCTTTTTAGTAGAGGCGGTGTTTCATCAAGTTGGCCAGGCTGGTCTCGAACTCCTGACCTCAAGTGATCCGCCAGCCTCGGCCTCCCAAAGTGCTGGGATTACAGGTGTGAGCCACCGCGCCGGGTCCTTTTCTCCCTATTTCTACAAATGAAGTGGCATTATTCCCCTTGGCTTTTACTAACAAGTCATTTGACATTTAAACGCCTGACTAGTGGCAGCGCAGTTCATGATTATCGTTCCTTCTGCATCCCCATTGATGAAAGAAAGGCCACAAGTCCTGTCAAGCTCTCCCTTCCAGAAAGGCCACCTCTATAGGGCACGCACAACTGGCTTCACAGCCAGGCAGCTTCGCTGGACCATCAGCTCCAGCTACACACTGCAGCCTCCGCGCCACTCTTGGGCCTAGACTTGAGGGCCCAGGGCAGCGAGTACTGCGGCCTTGCAGTCCCCAGGACCACCACCTCCAAGTACCCCGCGGCCACGACTTCCCTAGGACCGCCCACCCACAGGAATCCTGAAGCCCAGACGTCAGCGAGACCCCTTCCAGGATCCTGAGGCCAGGACCTCCACGTGACCCCCCCCCAAAAAAAAATATCCTCGCAGCCCCGATGTCCCCCGGGGCACCCAGCCACTCCGCCGTCCCCGGGACCCTCCCCCCCGGGCCTCCTGCGGCCTCGCAGTCCCCGGGACCCCTCCGAGTATCCCCCGCCCTGACACCCCTGGGAATCTGCGCGCCTGCGTCGCCGGCAGCCTCCGCCGCATAGCAGAGAACTTTCTGCAGGAGCAGCCGGGGGCGACGCCGGGCCCGCCGGGCGCTCGCCCCGGAGTGTCCTCGCCACTCCACGACATCTCTAGGCGGGCGACACGCCGCTCTCAAGCCTGAGGATGACCCCGCGCCAGAGAATCGGGTGGCCGTCATGAAGCCGTAATCCAGCTCCGCAGCCCCTCACCTTATAGACGGCCACACAGGCTGAGGTGCAGCCCAGGTGAACTCCGATGGCCGCCATGAGGCGGCAGGGACGGCGGCAGCAGAAATGAAAGGGTCCCGCAATAGCGGCGACTACCAGCCACCCTACGGCCCCATCAGGCTCCGCGGAGCTTCACGTTCCCGCCCGCCCCCTGCGTCCGGTCGCCGCCAATCAGCGTGAAGGTTCCGCCTTTCTTCACGCGCAGTCGGCGAGTAGCTTCAGCGCGTCTCTCCGTGCTCGGGGCGGGCGGGGGAACTGCACGTGCGCACGCGCAGCGGGGGTGGGCCGGGAAAGGCTCCTTCGCTCCGTCTTCTTCCTGCCCCTTTCGTGAAAGCCAATGGAAACTCTCAGTGCAGTTGCGTCACGTGTCCTGGCAACTAAGGGTAGATTCTTTCCAACCTGGCACTCTGCTCCTCAGCCCTCTTCCGCACCGCGCTGGGCAGTGGGCGCCGGTGGCGGAGGCGGTTGAAGCTGCTGGTCTAGTATGTGGTGCGCGAGCCCAGCTGCCGTGGTGGCCTTTTGCGCCGGGCTTTGGGTCTCTCACCCGGTTCTGGCGCAGGGCCAGGAGACCGGGGGGCGGCCGGGGGCCGACTGTGAAGGTGAGCGGTGTGACACCTGCTTGCATGGCGGCGGCCCCTCGCTGTATGGCAGCTGCTGTCTGCTTTGGCTTCTCCTGGCCCTGGCTATAAATAACATTTCACCTAGGAAATGCAGGCCCTGCCCCTCGTTTTAGATCGCCCCAGCCCAGATCGAGCATAAGCTCAAGCCGGGTCTGGTGGCAACGCGAGGCCACGTTGTGGTGTTGCTGTGAATATTAAACTTAAGCGGTAAACGCTGGTGGGTTTGTATTTAGGTTAGAGTTTATGTAAAGACTGCTAGATTCGGATGATCCTGGCGCCAGATTGATTCTGCTGCTTCCAGCCAGCAAGATTTGCCTCCCCTTGCACAGAAGACGTCTTTCAAGTCCAAGCTAGCTGGTGACTCCCCAGAGAAAAACAAACCATGACGTTGAGTTGAGTGGCGGGCAGATCATGAGGTCAGGAGTTCGAGACCAGCCTGGCCAACATCGCGAAATACTGTCTATACCAAACATACAAAAATTAGCAGGGTGTAGCGGCAGGCACCTGAAATTCCAGTTATTTAGGAGGCTGAGGCAGGAGAATCACTTGAACCTGGGAGGCAGAGGTTGCAGCGAGCCAAGACAGTGCCATTGCACTCCATCCTGGGTGACAGAGCAAGACTCCATCTCAAAACAAATAAAAATTAATAAATGATTATCTAACCTTATATCCACCGACCTTTCTAGAGTCCCAGGCCTTGCATCCAATTGACTAGTGAACATCCCCTCTTAGATACTGTATACCTCAACATCAACACAGTCAAAAAACCAAAGGCATCATTCCCCTCCTGTCTTAGTCCCCTAAACCTGTTACTGTCATGCTTACGGTGACATCATGGGTCAACCAGCCTAGTTTGTAGACTTCTCTTTCTCCCTTTTCCCTTACAGCAAATCTATCACTGAATCATTGATTCTACCTCCTGTGGCTGGCCCTGCCCTTTTCTCTTTTTTTTTTTTTTTTTTTGAGACGGAGTTTCGCTCTTGTTTCCCAGGCTGGAGTGCAATGGCGCGATCTCGGCTCACTGCAACCTCCGCCTCCTGGGTTCAGGCAATTCTCCTGCTTCAGCCTCCTGAGTAGCTGGGATTACAGGCACGTGCCACCGTGCCCAGCTAATTTTTTGTATTTTTAGTAGAGACGGGGTTTCACCATGTTGACCAGGATGGTCTCGATCTCTTGACCTTGTGATCCACCCGCCTCGGCCTCCCAAAGTGCTGGGATTACAGGCTTGAGCCACCGCGCCCGGCCGCCCTTTTCTCTTTACGCAAGTCCAGGACCTCCTTACACACAGACCTTCATCAGTTTTCCCCTCCTCATTGTCAAAACTGTTCTTCCTGCTACCTGTCTCCCTTCCGCCTAGTCCCCTGGCAGGGCTATTATATTACTTCCTTATTTAGTATCTTTCAGTGGTTTCCAAATTTCCTCCAGGTGCCTCTCCTTTGTCTTCCCACAGCATGGAATACGCTTCTTATATTGTTTTGGTCTCCTCTGAAAGTGCACTCTGAAAGTCAAGACAGGGTCTCTCACCACATCATTTCCAGCAGCTACCATGGTGCGTGGCAAATGGTAGGCACCCAGTTTGTTGAAGAAATGTATGCGTATATGCTGTGTTAAAATGTTGGTTATCTTTCAGTGAGTCAAATGTAGATCTTGAAAAGGACAAGTTAGTATTTCTAACCTTCATCACCTAGATAAGGCGTCCCCAAACTACGGCCCACGGGCCGCATGCGGCCCCCTGAGGCCCTTTATCCAGCCCCCCGCCGCACTTCAGGAAGGGGCACCTCTTTCATTGGTGGTCAGTGAGAGGAGCACAGTATGTGGCGGCCCTCCAATGGTCTGAGGGACAGTGAACTGGCCCCCTGTGTAAAAAGTCTGGGGACGCCTGACCTAGATGATACATTGGCAGAATGATAGTTGAGGTGTAGAAATCATATGAAGGTATACTGTGGGAAATACGGTCCGAGCAATGAGGCACTGCAATACTGTTTTTTTTTTTTTTTTGTAGGAGACAAAAGTTAGAGGTTCCTAGGAGACTTTGAAGATAGTTTGATTCTTTTTCTTTCTTTTTTTTTTTTTCTTTTGAGACAGAGTCTTGCTCTGTTGCCCAGGCTGGAGTGCAGTGGCACAGTCTCAACTCACTGCAACCTGTGTCTCCTGGGCTCAAGTTATCCTCCCTCCTCAGCCTCCTGAGAACCTGGACTACAGGTGCATGCCACCACACCCAGCTAATTTTTTGTATTTTTAATAGAGATGAGGTTTCACTATGTTGCCCAGGCTGGTCTCAAACCCCTGAGCTTAAGTGATCCACCTACTTCGGCCTCCCAAAGTGCTGGGATTATAGGTGTGAACCCCTGTGCATGGCCTGATGATAGTTTCTGCTGACTTGTAGCATTGATCATAACAGTAGGTTTCTTCTTTGCATACTGGATATATTTGCCAATTAAACTCAGCAAAATACATATTGAGAGAGATCTCATTTTTCACATTTAACACAGCAGATCCATTACACATGCCTTTTAACACTGTCTTCACTTGCCTTCTGGAATAACACTCACCCTTTGTTCTCATCCTACCTCACTGGCTGCTCCTTTCAGACTTTTTCTGGTTCTTTTCCATCTTCCCATTTGCTAAGCATTGGAGTTTCACAAGGCTGTGGTCCAGGACTGTCTCTTTTCCATTTCCCCTTACTTTGTGGTCTCATCGCAAAAACACCATTTGAATGTTGATGACTTGAAGATTTATTCATCCTAGATCTTACACCTGATCTCCAAATTTATATACATCTAGCTGCCTTCTCACTCTTTCCAGTTGGATGTTATATTAGTCAAGGTTCTCCAGAGAAATAAAACCAGTAGGACCAAAGAGAACATATAATCTGTCTGTATCAATATATCTCCTTAATATATATAATATTTATCTATATAAAAAGAGATTTATTATAAGGAATTGGCTCACAAGATTATGAAGGCTAGGAAGTCCAAAGTCTGCGCTGTGGGCAAGCAGGCTGGAGACCCAGGAGAGCCCATGATATGGATGAAGTCTGAAGGGAGTCTGCTGGAGAATTTCCTCTTGGTTAGGGAGACTGGTCTATTTTGTTCTATTCAGGCCCTCAACTAGTTGAGTAAGGCCCACCCACATTATGGAGGGCAATCTGCTTTACCCAGAGTTCATCAATTTAAGTGTTAATGTCATCCAAAAACATCCTCTTAGTTGCTACATAAAACTAACCATCACAGATGTCTAGAAGTATCTTGAAGTTCATATGTCAAGACCAGATTCTGGTCAGGTGTGGTGGTTCACACCTGTGAGCCAGCACTTTGGTAGGCTGAGGCAGGCCGATCACCTGAGGTCAGGAGTTAGAGACCAGCCTGGCCAACATAACAAAACCCGTCTCTACTAAAAATACAACAATTAGCTGGGTGTGGTGGCATGTGCCCGTAATCCCAGCTACTCGGTAGCTGAGGCTCAAGAATCACTTGAATTTGGGAGGTGGAGGTTGCAGTGAGCTGAGATCACGCCACTGTACTCTAGCCTGGGTGACAGAGTAAGACTCCATCTCAAAAAAAAAAAAAAAAAAAAAAAAAAGGAAAAGAAAAGAAAGAAAAGGCTGGATTCCTTTTGTCACTATAAACTTTCTTCTCCTGCAATCTTTCTCATTTCAGCAAATGGCAACTCCACAGTTCCAATTTCTTTTCTTTCCTTTTTTATTTTATTTTATTTTTATTGTTTAATCAGCCCTGCCTCTGCAGGGCCTCAAAAAATTGGATTAAGACTCAGAATTGTTCCTCTCCACGAAAATCTTTAGTAAAAGGCGAAATATTTATACGATTTGAAGAGAAACCACAGTTCCAGTTTCTCGGCCAAAATTATTGGGATTATCTTTGATTTCTCTCTCTCTCTCCCCGGCTCGAACATGTTACATCTGGTTCATGAGTAAATTCTTTTTGCACTTCCTTCAAGATATGTCCAGAGTGCAACCCCTTCCCATCACCTCGACGGCTATTATCCTGATCTAAGAGATGCAACTGTTTTGAGACCCTCTAAACGGGTCAGCTGGTCTCCCTGCTTTCTTTCCCGCTTCCTGGGAAAGGCCATTCTTCAGTGGCCTTCAGAGACATCCTTTATGAGTCACGTCAGAGCATAGCCCTTCTCTACTCAAAACCTTGAATGGCTTCCCTCCTCAGAGTGACATCCAGAGTCCTTACCATGCTTGAAAGGTCCTGGTCGCCCCGGCATGCTGCTGCCTATTTGATCCCTTTCGCTACTTGTCTCCCTCCTACTTTAGCCATGGCGGCCCCCTGGCTGGTCCTTGAATCCACCAAGGACACTCCTGCGTTTGAGCCTTTGTCTTACGGTTCCTTCTGCCTACAGAGTTCTTCCTCAAGTCATCCACTTAAATTGTTCTTCCACTGCCTTCAGGTGTCTGCTCGAACATCACTTTGTCTAAGAGACCTTTCCTAATCAACTCATTTAGAATCAAACTGTTACCTTGTCCCCCTCCATCCTCCTTACCATGTTTATCTTT